GCATTGGGTAATGAGAGAATGTCAAGATAATTAAGATGAGAGTTTGCAAGCGTTGTCTCAAATAGAAGCATAAAAATTTGATTTTTCAAACATTTAGCATAAGCTAAAATATTTAAAAAGCTTTAAAGAGATTTTGAGAGATCTCTGCTTGAATGTAATTGTCCTATCAGCAATATTTATGCTGCTGTAATAACATGTATTACCTTCAAATATTAACATGCAAAAGTAATCATAGTTTTTGCTGCCTATCGTTTTTGCAACATATATATAGCTCAGTCGTTTTCAATATCATATCTTCATAATCAAACAAAAACTAATTTATAGATATAATCCAAACTTTAAAATAAATATGATAATATCTTCAACGAACAAAGAAAACTCAAGGGGAATATGTCTGAATGTCGGAAGTAAAACACGAATTACATCGCTTTGGATAGTTGTTGGAATCTATTGAGAAAAAGCAAAACGTCATGGATATATGGTTCTGATTATCAGGAAGGGCCCACGTATAAAGATAACTTGCTAATTTCTGAATAACAAATTGGTTTGCATAATACCAGCAAGCCAACACTTGAGTTGCCTGGCCTTCATCTGGCTATCCAGCAAATTGTGAAAATGATCAGGCTAGCACATGGATTCAATTAAGAGTTCCTCTCAGGAAGTAAGTTGGTGAATTAGCCTGTTTAGGCTCGCTTTCCTGTCACGTACTTCTAAAGAGGCTATCCAAGCGATACATTTCCAACAAATTTGATTTCTAGTTCAAGAGATGTCCTCAAGAAGGTAGCCATCTAGAGAATGTCACTAGGAATAAATAAGAAAGGATATAAAATAGAGGAAAGACGGGATAAAAATAAAATAGAATGAGCGCTTACGCATCCCACGGATCCCGGCGAAAAGAAAGTATCCACCCTCGGGCCGCACCGGCAACATTCCCACTTCTAAAAGGCAATCAATCATCTGGTCACGCTTCAACCTGCATATTTCAGCCAGTTCAGTCCAGTAACAAGTTGGCTGATCAAGCAGAGCTCGCTCCGTCTCTAAGCTACGGGCAACGGCTTCCTGAAATAAGCAAATATGAGAGGCAATCTATAGAACAAAGGATATTCTTTAGTATGAATTGCAGCAAAGGCATTTTATTGACTAACGAAGGCCTAAAATAACATTGAGGGTAGGATTAAAGTCAGGTGTCATTAGAATTACGCCTACAGTTTGTTCAAATGGCGGACAGGCCTATGGTATATATAAGAAGTAAATAAGGAGGTAGTTTTGAGGAATAACAAAAACTATATTTAATGCATTTTACACTACTCGGTAGTTTATTTTCAGCCCCTTATTTATCAAAGCAACTTTTGATTTCCAAGGTAGACGAAATTTTAAATAATCTAAATGATAAAATTAGCATGCCAAAAAATAAATGAACGAGTGTCAAGGAATTTTACTTTTGTTGGCTCGTATAATAGATTTTAGTAGACATTAGATCGTTTTAAGTGACCAAGGGTGATTAAGCTTCAACTCAAGAATTAGTGATAGTCACGAAACCTAATTGGATAGAAAATATTTTCAAAATGTAACTACACCGCAACTTCCACAAAAGTCAGTATGCCAGAGAGCAAACGTGGCATTAAAGACAAGTCAGGCCTCTCCTGTATCACTTTATACGGCCAAAAAAAGAAGACAGCCATTATTCAAGGTATACAGGCAGTATCGAAAACAACCCAATATGTATATTAAATAGCCCTTAACTGCCGAATATTATCAAAATATTTTAACCGTCACGCATCCATTCCAAAAATATCAGGAAGAGTAAGTTGATTTCAGAGAATCTCTTGATTAACCACTGATGAAAAGATTTGCACTTTTGGAAAAGTGTGTGACAAAGAGGTTCAATCAGAAGACCATATGAATTCCCCTTGGTATGCAGTAGTTTAAATTTCCAGGGAATTTAATACAAACACAATCATTAAGGAACCTTATTTCCGTTCCAGGGAAGAATAGCGAGACAATATGAACCTCTTAGTATGGTGAAACAGCGTAAAAAGGGAGAAACGCCATAGTTACCCTGTAGGAGGTAACTCCGGAACCGCATAATCAATTAAATAAGGCCAACTGTGACTCATTTAAATTAAAGACATGCAAATTCAAAGAGAAGATCCAACGTTTTAAAATCTTTGAGTTATTTACGTAAATAGGTTTGCTTATATATAAATGTTTTCGATTCATTACGAGTGTTAGCAGAAGCACGCAGAACATGCAGTAAATCGATTTGTAAGAAAGGGGTCTTCAGTCTTTAGAACTCCACAAGACTTGCTCCAAGCAATGGCATTATTGAGCTGATGTTCGACGTCGAAAGAAAGCAAAGTTATTAATGCGGTCTACGAAAAGATGAAGAGAGGGAGAAATTGCTAAGGCAGCAGAGCTCTGAAGATGAATACAAAATCTGGTAGAACTCTAGACACAGAAGAGTAAATGACGACTTCAAGACGAAAGGAACTGCTATGAATCGGGAATGTTTTTTACTTCCCTTTCCTCCTATGGACATGAAGGACCAAGACGTGGTTGGAACCAAAAAGAAGCAATTCCTGATTAGGTGAAGCGAGGAGGAAGGTGAATTGAAATAGAAAAGACAAACAATTTTCGAACCTAAGAATGTATGAATGCGATAAAGCGATGCATAAATTGTTGCTGACAAATTATAATGCAATTGATAAAATCACGGAAAAGCCTCTATTCATAAAAGAAAAGATTAAAAACTGCTTGACCAGGGTCCATCTTAACTTTACGATATATATTAAAATGGAAAAGCGAAGACGAGACTAGTGAAAGATGCAGAAGAGAGCCAGAACAAGATCGGCCAATAAAGGACTCTAAAGCATTGGTCACACACACCTTCGCAAAGTTAGAATAACTTTTTCAAAAAAGGCATGAAGAGGAGTCAAACATATCTTCGAGGTTCAGCCCTTTCATGCTTTAGAGATACAGAACAAGGCATTGTAAAAACGATTTTCTGATTGATCTTTAAACAGAGTTGTTTATTGGCCAAACTTCCATGGGGCTAAGGGCAAATAATGGATGCCGAAGACAGGACAGTAAATAATAAAAGAAAAAATTTATCGAGTTGGTTCGACCTTGTTTTCGCAACTTGGTAAAGCGTCAGGGAGACCTCGTGGAACGTACCTAGTCCTGTGTGATCTGCGATAGTCTTCGTGATTTCCAGCTTCGGATCATTTGCATGATACATTCTCAAAAGTTTCGCCGGTATCATAGCCGGCAAAGTCAATGATAGGCGCCATCGTTAGCACATAGTTACAACTTATCTAAGTGACCAATTTTCCGTTCAACCGTTGTGGCATCACTCCTAGCCCCTATTTTTCGCTCTATCTATCTAAAGAGATGCAATAATAGAAATTAGAACGAAAAATATAGGCGAGAAGTGATGCAACAGCGTTTGGACAAAACATTTGTCAAGAAGCTTGCCTTTACTTGTCACTTTGATAACTTGTAACTCTGTGCAAATGATAGCGCCTCTCACTCACGATACCAGTGAAACATTTGGGAGTGTACCAAGTCAATGGTCCAAAGCTGAAAATCACGAATACTATGATAGAGGACACAGGACTTGGTACGTTCCACAGGGTTTCCCTGACGCTCTGAACAAGTTACGAAAACAAGGTCGAACC